TTATGGCCTTTGGGGACCTATCACTTTCACCCCATTCCTTCTTCTTTGGACTATTGCATTCTCACATTCATTTTTCCTTTAGTAATAGTCTCTTTTTTTTTCATATCCCCTCCTCTTTCTTTCTACATTATTTTTTCACTCATTCAGGCCAGTTTTACCACTTATCCTGACCATCTTTCAAGATTAATTAAATCTGGGTGAAGGGATTTCCTTCTATATGCAATAGTAACCTTCTCTTGCTTTGTCATACTTGTGGATTTGTTTACCTAAACCTCTACTATGGTATAAGCTTCATAAAATTGCTCACTTTTCTTGCCATGTTCACAAAAATAAGCCAGACTTAAATATAGTGCTTGCTACACAGTAGGTGTTCAATATTTATTTATTGAATCAATAAATCAATGAAGTATGTATTGACCTCTGTGAGAACAATTTGCTAATAAAGACATATGTGTTTCCACTGTCAACCATATTTCCTAGCACAATTCTATGTAAAGAAACAAACTTGTCATTTGATTTCAAATCTTTAGTAAATATTTTTTATTTTTAATATTTATATTCTTTTTTATATACTTTAAATTCTGGGATACATATGCAGAACGTGCAGGTTTGTTACATAGGTATACATGTGCCATCGTGGTTTGCTGCACCCATCAACCCGTCATCTACGTTAGGTATTTCTTCCAATGCTGTCCCTTCTCTAGACCCCCACCCCCTGACAGGCCCTAATGTGTGATGTTCCCCTCCCTGTGTCCATGTGTTCTCTTTGTTCAACTGCCACTTATGAGTGAGAACATGCGGTGTTTGGTTTTCTGTCCTTGTGATAGTTTGCTTAGAATGATGGTTTCCAGCTTCATCCATGTCACTACAAAGAACATGAACTCATCCTTTTTTATGGCTGCACAGTATTCCATGGTGTACCTGTGCCACATTTTCTTAATCCAGTCTATCATTGATGGGCATTTGGGTTGGTTCCAAGTCTTTGCTATTGTGAATAGTGCCACAATAAACATACGTGTGCATGTGTCTTTATAGTAGTATGATTTATTATCCATTGAGTATATACCCAGTGATGGGATCACTGGGTCAAACGATATTTCTAGTTCTAGATCCCTGAGGAATTGCCACACTGTCTTCCACCTTCCACAATGGTTGAACTAATTTACACTCCACCAACAGTGTAAAAGTGTTCTCATTTCTCCACATCCTCTCCAGCATCTGTTGTTTTCTGACTTTTTAATGATAGCCATTCTAACTGGCATGAGATGGTATCTCATTGTGATTTTGATTTGCATTTCTCTAATCACCAGTGATGATGAGCTTTTTTCATATGTTTGTTGGCCACATAAATGTCTTCTTTGGAGAAGTATCTGCTCATATCCTTCACCTACTTTTTGATGGAGTTGTTTGTTTTTTCTTATAAATTTGTTTAAGTTATTTGTAGATTCTGGATATTTTTATTACTTTTCTTTACAAATACATGCTCACCTCTCTCTCTCTCTCTTTCATTTTATGTTTCAAAGTAAAATATGTTGTAAGTAGGCCACAGGAAAAAACAAAAACAAAACAAAAAACAGAAGCCTGTTTTTATGAAATGTTTGGGAATGATATTTTAAAAAACCTTAAAGAACAATGACATGGATTCTCATTCTGGATTGGTAATCATTATCAGAGATATTTATACTAATCTATTCTTATAAATAAAAACCGTAGGAAAATTTATTACTTTTTTTTTGGTCAAGTAACCATAATACTTAGCTAATTTTCTATTAAACAATTTATAAGAACAGTAATCATTTTGTGTTTTCTCTATTTCATACTTCTAGGTGTCAAACTTATTTATGTATCTAAAATGATGTTTAGAGACTTAACTAATGACTTGGCTGTAATATTTTCATCTTTGCAATTTTGGCACAATAAAGTTAATGCGAGAAACACATTTAATATAGTAAATGACAGGCATAAAATAAACATGCCAGATATCTTGTCCTTCCTTCCTTCCTTCCTTCCTTCCTTTCTCTTTCTTTCTTTCTTTGTTTTTTTTTTTTTTTTTTTACACGGAATCTCGCTGTCACCCAGGCATCTTAGCAGTGCTGCCATCTTAGCTCACTGCAACCTCCACCTCCCGGGTTCAAGCGACTTTCCTCCCTCAGTTTCCCGAGTAGCTGGGATTGCAGGCCCATACCACCATGCTCAACTAATTTTTGTATAATTAGTAGAGACAGGGTTTCACCATGTTGGCAAGGCCAGTCTCGAACTCCTGACCTCAGGTGATCCACCAGCCTCAGCCTCCCAAAATGCTGGGATTACAGGCGTGAGCTACTACTCCCAGGAGATAATATTTTGTTTTCTATATCAATTATTTTCACCTTCCAAAAATAAAATGAAAATGGAAAAACTGAAATTGAATAAGAAAAAATCTTATCTTACTAAGTATAAAGTTAGAATAAGAGAAAAATTCTAAATTTAGGTACATTTAATTTTAAAAAATTAAAAGAAAAAATGTTTCATGTATTAAAGGAAATAATTGGTCAGAAAGCGTTCAAGCACTGCACAGTCCAAGGGACTCAGGAAAAATGTGATTAATGTTGGATATAATTTCTAAGCATATTATGTTTACTGATAGGCCCTGTCCCCTTTCTCTTTCTGTTGTATTTTTGGATCTGACTTAAGGAATTGAAACGTTCCAGTACAGTTTAATTAATATTCACAGATGATTTAGAAGTTTTTTTTTTTTTAAACAGGCAATCTTTTTTTTTTTTTTTCTGTGATGTGACCAAAATTATTAGCTAGACATTTATGTATTTATTTATTTATTTTATTATTTGTTTATTTTTTTTGAGACGGAGTCTCCCTCTGTCACCCAGGCTGGAGTCCAGCGGCGCGATCTCGGCTCACTGCAAGCTCCGCCTCCCGGATTCAGCTGGGACAACAGGCGCCCGCCACCACGCGCGGCTAATTTTTTGTATTTTTATTAGAGACGGGGTTTCACCGCGTTAGCCAGGAGGGTCTCCATCTCCGACCTCGTGATCCGCCCACCTCGGCCTTCCAAAGTGCTGGGATTACAGGCTTGAGCCACCGTGCCCGGCCTAGCTAGACATTTTTATTGGGTGAGCAAAATGGCTCTAGTTCCAGTGATACAAAGGAAACGTTACATTTACTTGGCCAGCTCCTGCTTCCTCCAAATTTTTTAACCCCAAAACTGCATACTCCAAGCTCAAGGTATGTCTTCATTGCTTGGCCACCTACACAATTTGCAGGTACCTGTGAGCAGAGCATGAAGGATGCATTCGAAGGCCAGCTCAGCAGCTTCAAAATCGGTTTTCATTAGCAGTTCAACAGTTGGCTTCCATGAGGTAAACCCTAGAAACTTAGAATAACTACATTTAATTCACACTTCCTCTGCTCTTTTATTTAGTTATGGAAATAAAAACTGTCTAAGTAATTGTTGCTGTCCAGGTCTGTGGGAAATGACTAGTAGCTTTTGACTAACCTCTGGGGATTGCACTACTAGAATCAGAAGAAAATTCTAAAGATCTGGTCATCACGGTTCTAAAACGTCTCTTGGAAAGCAAAGACAAATCTACATTTTTATGTATTGCTGGGGAAAAATTTCATCATCCACATTATTTTGTTCGTATAATTCAAGCAAGTTTAGGTAAAGTCAGGTGATCAGTTATCAGGCCATCTATACAGAGCTCACTTTCTAAAGTCAGGGGACTTCTTTCTGCTTTTAGTAGTTGGAGTCTGACAAAGTTAAAATCATGCTAAACATAGTTCTTAAAAAAAGTCTTTATTTCCTCTTTTTTTTTTTTACAGAAATATCTGTTTTCTAACATACTAATGGTACATAGTTTTAAAATGCCACAGACTCTATTAATTTTTAACTAGAAGTTCACGATGTTTCCAAAGAGCAGATTGTGATTGAATTATCTTTTTTAAGCCAAACATTTTTAGTAAATAATATAAACATAATAATTTGGATTGCTCATGTGACTTAGAGAGATAGATTATTTGAAAGAGAAGTTTATATTTGGTAAAGAAGTAGGGGTGAGTGGCATCAGAGAAAATTATTGTTGTTTTTCAATTCTTTGATTAATCACTTTTATTGCTTTATTTCTTTTTGAAAAGTATAGTTTGTTCTTCTAAATCAATGCGTCTTATCTAGATGTTATAAGATGATACAGAAAAAAATAACCTAATAACAAATGAAAAAACAACTTATATTTCTTATATTTTTCTACCAAAATTATACTAAATATCTCTACTTAAATATTCTACTGCTTTCAAGGTATGTTCTTTTTTTTTTTTTAAATTTAGGCAAATTGTGGAAAGCAATTGGACTATGGTTACAAGGGATGGAAATGTATAATTGGTGTAATAGGATTCATAATTGATAAACCAGAGAGGAGAGAAACTGAAATAAGTTAATTCCTTTCAAATAAAAGGATCCCAGTGTTTTTAAACCAAGGGGAAAAAAGCAAAGGTCTGTCTAACTGCCATGTAAACTCATTTTAAATGTCAAGTCTTATTACAACCTAATAATCGGAATGCCTATTTTCCCCTCTTGCTTGAGCCATCAAATTTGTCAAAATTTTATGATAATTCATTCCATCATTCCTTAGACATTTAAATGACAGAGAGTCCTAGTCAAGGGGAGAAAGCCTCTGTAATCCTACTCCTCATGTTATAGCTGCCTCCAGAGAGATTTTTAAAATATTCCATATCATGGTATAAGCAACAGTTAAATTTCTCAATGTCACTGATTTCTTGCCATTTTGGAAAGTGACAATAAATTGGCTACCTACCATTCTTGACCTTTTGACTTTGGAACCTCTGCTGACCAAATCTTAGCTTGCCTTGTTTAAGTCAGCAGCTCTGGTATCACTCTGATCCTCTCCCAGAGGGTCTGAAGCTTTCACTCACACTCCTGAACGGGTAAGCTCCCCCTCTAGTGTTCACTGCTCATCAGATTATTCCTCTAACAAATAAGACAGAGAATTGCTTGTTTTTTTTGGTTCCCTATCGAAGGACGGAGCTTGGGCCAACATTTATAACGGTTTAATGACACAAAGAGGAAAAGGTAAGTATAAATCCTACATTAAAAAAAAAAGTTCCTTCCTTTTGATTCCTTTGAAAGCATTGCTACTGTTTGGTTATGAAACTAAGAAATGCTGCTTGTGCTGCCTTGCAGGCAGAATGCATGGCTGAATAGACAGGATGAGTTTGAAAGATATGAGACGATCTCGGAAAAAACAATCCTTTCTGTTGGGAAGCTGGATGTCTGGTTATGAATAAATGACTTTTCACTGGAAGCTGACACTCAGGAACTCTTTATTTGTAGAGCAATTACCAATAGAGGAGCAGGATAGGGGAGGAGGTTGTTCTAGGGAACCCCAGCATGTTTTTCTTCCAGAATTTTAAAAAAAGACCAGTAAAAATGAAATGCCTTCCGTTTGTTTTTACAAAGAACCTGTGTAAATAGTCCCCTACACGAAAAGACCCTCACTATATTTGACACAGAACTACAGAAAAAAGTGCAGTAGATATTGGTGGTAGTTTTCAAGTGTGTTGAACTCAAAGGTTAAAAGTTCAACAACTTCATTAAATGTAGTGTTGAAGCCTTAGTAAGACATAATCCAGAATTTATCATACAATTGAAAGTAAGAGAAAGAAAAAAGAAAGAAAGAGCAAAAGAAGGGAAAAAAACCCTGATACAGTTCTGAGAGGTTATTTTTCACAGTTGGTTACTAAACTAAAATCTAGAAGTTTTATTTATTAATTTTCAACCATGGGCATAATTTTAAACTAAAAAAAAAATGAAGTGTACACCACATTCTTCAAAGAAGGCACAAACTTTCTATTTAATTGTTTCAAAGTGTGTTTGAAACAGTTGTATATGTCTTGAAATAGGTCATATAATTTATTTGAAATTCAGGTTGGAAATAATATGGCCACATTAAATTAAAAATGGTTTGAATCTTCTGAATTTTGGGGAATAAAATAAGCCCTCAACAAAGTTTTTCTTCATACTGATGATTCTGAAAGTTAGATTAGTTTCATTCTGGTTTTCTAAGTTAACATATCTTTCTTAATTAAAATAAGGTAAATAAGTATGACTACATAAACAGAAGGGAAGAACTTCCTTTTGCCATATTCTGTTTTCATATTCTATCACTATTGATAGATAGTGATCACTAGTCTCATCATTCTCCCTAAGCATGTATTAAGTACCTACAGATTATATAAAGCTACACCCTGTCAGAACTCAACTTACATTTTTAAATGTAATGTTTGTTATGGCATTAAAACTGAATTATTCTGTTTTGGTCTAATAAAGACCTCAAAACATTTTCTAAAGTACAGTAACCCATTCCATAAAAATATTCATTACCTTATCACTATTATTTTTCTCTTTACTGGGTCTTTTAAAACTAGGTTGCTTGATATGGCAGAAGAAGAAGAATGCTTTCAAGTCCTGTAATGTTAGAGTACCTTAACTTTTTCCTGTTTTCAATTTTCTAGGTTCTGAGTTTTATTAAATTCCATTTTGGTGCCTTACTTTAAAGCTGACTTCAGGGTCTTGTTAAAAAGGTCATCATCATTCATGAACTAATGGGACCAGGTGACTAGGACCTATCTTTAATCACAAAGCAGTGGCCCCTTTGAAGGTTCAAAGGATTAATATTGCCTGTATGACCATTCAGTTTTGAGCTTCTTGGATGACACAACAACACATAGGATTGTCATTTCTACTAGACTGAGGGATTTCCAGGTGGACATCTGTCTTTTCTGAACTGGACTCAGATCATACATCCTTCCCTCTGAGCAGCTGTTTCACGGGAGTATCCTTCAATCACATGTCCCATGCTAAGACTCACTGTGAGACACACAGTGTGAGTTGGAGATCAGCACAAATATGAATGCTACCTTCTTTAATTTTATTTTTTTTAGAGGCTGCTCTAAATTGCTGGTTCAGGCAAAGTTTAAACCGCTAGAAAAATTTTAAAGTAAATAGATTGCATTTATAATGGAAAAATTGAATTGTGTGAAACTTCCATAGCCCACATTTCTAGTTGTACACATTTCACATAAAAATTTATAGTAGGAAGGAAGTCATGATTTATATCAGTTTGACTAACCTAATTGCTAAAGATTATGCAGCATTGCAAAGGACAGGTAAAGAGACTCCTGTCAATCAAAGTGGTTATAGAAAAACATACAGAAAAAAAAAATGACAACAACAAAAATTTAAAACATGAAATACATTTAACTACACAGAACCCTAAAGATCTTTGTAATATAAAGTGATTTATTATAAGGTTATAAAATATAAGAATGATAGGGTCTTTAGAGATGACCTCACCTACTTTTCTCATTGGTGAAGCCCCAGGCTCAGGAAAACTTGGAAAAATGGGTTATTTGTTTAATGTCATATGGTGAAAAAATAAAGAACAAGGCATTCGATCTTGGCCTGTGGGTTTCAATTGTAGTGCTCTTTATGCTGAGGGAGCCTCAGTCATGCTTTCAAGGTAACTATGGGTGCTTTCATAGAAATAAGAAGAAAAATACATCTTTGGGAAGTTTGGAGGAGACTTGAGTTATTTTAGGAGATAGTACTTTTTTTTTTTTTTTTTTTTTTGAGATGGAATCTTGCACTGTCACCCGGGCTGGAGTGCAGTGGCACGATCTCAGCTCACTGCAACCTCTGCCTCCCAGGTTCAAGTGATTCTCATGCCTCAGCCTCCTGAGTAGCTGGGATTACAGACACCTGCCACTGGAGTTTCACTCTGTTGGCCAGGCTGGTCTCGAATGCCTGACCTTGTGATCCACCTGCCCCAGCCTCCCTGGGATTACGGGTGTGAACCATCATGCCCAGCCAAAATTAATAAACACAATTTTTATAAACATGTTGAAAACTGGCCATGTGAGCTTATTTTTCAGAATAAATTATGCATTCATTGGTTAATCAACAACAATTCCAATGATTATGAGACAAGAGTAGGTGGTTAATGGCTTTTAAATTACAACAGCAAGTTAAAAAAAAATTTTAAGTAGGTGCACTATTTTCTTTGTTAACCCTATCATCCTAAGTGGGAAGGATAAATTAACATCTTGCTTTATCTTTGTTATGAACTGTTTGTGCCCCCTCCCCCCCAAATTTCGTATCTTGAAATATAATCCCCAAAGTGATGCTTTTTAGAGGTAGGGCCTATGGGAAGTGATTAGGTCATGAGGGTGGAGCCCTCATGACTGGGATTAGTGCCCTTAGAAAAAGACGCCAGAGAACTAGCAGAGGGTTTCAAGGAAAAGCTGGTTTTCTGCAGCGTGGAAGATGGCCCTCGCTGCCAGATGATGCTGGCACCTGATCTCAGATTTCCAGATTCCAGAACTGTGAGAAATAAATGTTTGTTGTTTAAACTACTCAGCCAAGAGTAATTTGTTATAGTAACCTGAACTAACTAAGACAGCCTTTCTGAGACAGCCTCTTAAATCAATTTTCAGATTTCTAAAGTGATTAATGAGGTCATACATCCTACCAGGAAAGTTAGCTAAAGTAACCAGATTTTAATGTCTTTACAAGCTTAGTTAACAATGTTAAAATTGATCTTTTTTTAATCTCACTTAGCATGTGAAAAAGTATGTCTCTTTCTTTGATCTCAGTTGAACTTTTCTGTATTCACCATTTATTCTATCATGTTCCTAACTGTATATCTGTGATCTAATTAAATATTAATCCAATCTATACACATAGATAAAAACCCTGAAACTATATATGCTCACATATAAACAGTAGTTTTATCTTGGTAGAGTGAAATTATACGTGTTTTATTTCTAAATTTTTTGCAATGAATATGTATTTCTATCCTAACGTTAAACAATCTTTCTCATATAATGTCATTGAAAAAAGAAATTGACATCTAGTGAAAAGGACAGGAAGGATTAAAAATACATTGTTCATGTTTTTAGCAGTCTCTACCTGTTTTCCTACAAAGTGGGAAGTGAACAATGTATTGTTTTCAAGTATTTTTTGAGTGCCTATATGCATCTGGCACTGTTTCAGAGTTTGGGATATGTCAGTGAACAAAACAAGTGAGAACACTGCTTTCTTGGAGCTTAAATTCTAGTGAGAATCAATTAGAAAACATTAGGAAAACAAGGAAGTTTATAAAGGTAAGTCTATAAAAATTGTCCACGAGGAGATTGTGGTCAATTGTGTGTGGTAGCAAGGGAAGTCATAAAAATAGGAAAATGTGGAGGAATATTGAATCTCTTTTGAGTACAATTTTGGTGGCTATGTTGATAACAGTTTATATAGGAAAAAGTCTGAATTTAGCCAAAGGAAACTGGTCATCAGGAATACAGATGACACTTTTGCAGGTTTGAAATCATTAAGGAAATAAAGAGGAAAACCTTTACCTGTACGGAGCAGAGGCTTCAAAATATGGTTCGTTGCTCTCATTGTGCTGCTGAAATATTTACATGAACTAAATAAGAAACAAGAGTGTTATTTGTGTTTATACTTAAAGTTCATGAGTTGCAAGTTGTTCTTTAGTATAGGGCCAAAGAACACATACATTAAATCATGAATTAAATTGCTTGAATCAACATTAATTCATGGAAAGTGTTAGTCCACGTGATAAAAGTATTATTGTGAGCATGTTAGAATTTCATCATTTTGAACATCCTGCCTTACTTCTCTTTACTTTTTAAAAATTCAATTCATTAATTGTCTCCATTTGGAGATTTACTTACTTTATCTTCCCTTACTCCAATCTCTGTTAGGAGCATAATTCTGTGCCACATTTAGTTAGATGCTAGTCCTTCATACATTCTGATTCAATTGTAAGTTTTCTTATCCTATTTTGCCAGAGAATGCTCAAGAGCAATGATTAAACCTTTTTCTTTTCTGCATCTACATCTCTATTCTCAGTGCCATAACCTTCCACTCATGAATAAATAAAATCATTGTTGTAAAGATGGAATGAAAGAAAACTTGAGCTTCCTAGTCTTCATTCTACAGCTTGATCATTATTTTACAGCTATAGCAATAAATTTTCCATGATAGTAAATATTTTTTCA